CTTTTGGTTTCGGCTCAGGTCATGATCTCACAGTTTCCAGAGTTCGAGCCCCATGTCGGGCTCTGTACTGATAGCATGGAGCCTGCTTGGGATTCTCTTTCTCTCTGTCCCTCCCCTGCTCGCATGCATCTCTCTCAAAATAAATAAACTTTAAAAAATTAAAAAAGAAATGAATATTCTGAAATAGGCTAGAAAAAAAGTAAACAAAACAAGAAAACCCAACATTTATAAATCTGCTTTCAACATATGTTCTGTGTCCCTGTGATTTCCTTCCTTGTAACAGTCTAGAATACAAATACCAGAAATCTGCATGGCATTCCAGCACATCTCCATGCTGGGTTTATGGCTGATAATAATAATCAAACATGGCCTTCTTCTTCCCACAGCTCAAAACTTGGTCTTAGAACCCTGTCTGCATGGCTCCCTGAGCTGCCTTCACCAGCTGATGAGAATTTACACCTAAGAGAAAACCTATTTGAAACCACTGCTTTAACCTAGATTATTCATAACTTACAGCGAAGTACTTACTTGGCCCTGTACAAAAGCAGTCAAAAGGAGAAAACTGTCCTTAAGAGGTGAAAAATAGAACTACCATAAGATCCAGCAATTCCACTTGAGTGTATTTATCCAAAGAAAACAGAAACACTAACTGGAAAAGATCTATATGACCCCATGTTCATTACAGCATTACTTAAAATCCTCAAGATATGGAAACAACCTAAGTGTCCGTCAGTGGATGAATGGATAAAGAAAATGTGGTATAAGTACAGAATGGAATATTACTCAGCCAAAGAAAGAAAGAAAGAAAGAAAGAAAGAAAGAAAGAAAGAAAGAAAGAAAAGAAATCTTAGATGGACTTCAAGGGCATTATGCTAAGCTAAATAAGTCAGACAAAGAAAGACAAATACCATATGATCTCACTTATATGTGGAAATGTTACACACACACACACACACACACACACACACACACACACACAAGCTTGGTGGCCAGAGTTGGGAGAAGGAAATAGGAAAAATGGGTGAAGGGAGTCAAAAGGTATATGCTTTGTTATAAGTCACAGAGATGTAATACACAGCATGGTGTCTAGAGCTAATAATGCTGTATTGCATATTTGAGAGTTGCTAAGAATAGATCTTAAAAGTTCTCATCACAAGAAAAAAAAAACTGTTTTGTAACTACACAAAGTGATGGATGTTAACTAGATTATTATAATCACTTCACAATGTACTATTCAAACATTGAATCATTACGTTGTACACCTGAAATTGATACAATGTTTTATGTCAAATACACCTCAAGTAAAAAGGTAAATAAGGATAGAAAGACAAGAAAAGAGAAGAACTGATTTCCAGAAAAACAAAAAAAGGAAACTATCCTGGGGTAAGTGGTGAGGGGTGAGGGATAAGCCAAGCTCTATAAACCATTGCTATTAGCAGAAAGGGGAGGGAGGAAGGGAGATAAAGTTACCCAGAGGAACAAGTGGTTAACACCAAGCTTCATACAGTAGTTGTCAAAACAGAAGTTTACTTCTACTGGTCTGATATATAACCACAGAGACTAATAGATTGTGACCAGGAAGATTGGGCGAATAAAGAAAACTGGAAAAAAAACAAAAAAAAATCTCTCCTATTTTCCACTCTCAGAGAGAGATGGTTTCCAGACAAAAAAACAAAAAACAAAAAAACAAAGAGCAATTTAATCAAACACACACACACACACACACACACACACACACACGGGGCCTGGGTGGCTCAGTTGGTTGAGCAGTCGACTATTGATTTTGGCCTACATCATGATCCCAGGGTTGTGGAATCAAGCCCCACGTCAGGCTCTGCACACGGAGCATGGAGTCTGCTTGGGATCCTCTCTCTCTCTCCCTCCCTCCCCCCCCCTCCCTCCCTCCCTCTCTCTCTCTCCCTCCCTCCCTCTCACCCTCCCTCCCTCTCCCCTGCTTGCACTATCTAAAAATTAAAATTAAAAAAATCTTAAAAAAAGGAAACACACACACACACAAACTATAAGGTAGCTATACAAATACACAAGGATGCCACAAATAGCCTTGTGATTAGCATAAAATGAAGATGCTAAAAATGTTTTAGAAGTGTATTTGACATAGAAAGGTGCTCATGACATAAGATTTAAAGTGTAGATTACAAAATAGAATGTTGACTATAATCCAATTTTCTTGTGTTTTAAATTCTGAAGGCATAAAAGTCTTAAGGCATTAGTAAACATTTAGATGCATAATGGGATTTTGAGTAATTTTTATTTTCTTCTTTTTGTTTCTCTGTAGTATTCTCTAATTTAACTATACAAAATGATATCTAAGAAATTAATTTTTTTCTTTTAACAATCTGCTGCAATTAATTAGTAATTTGCTTTTTCTTGATGTATAACCATCAGAAGTAACATCGGTTGCTGTAGAAGCCGTGTGCTGCTCAGATTTACCTCTCCAGCCATAGCTGTTTCCACATGGATGGATAAGGAGAAGTCCAGTCTGATCGATGATGTGCAGACCATTAATATCCGGCCACCCTATGCTCCATCTTATAGCTCATTAGAAACCTCTATCTTTAGAGGCACCTGGGTGGCTCAGTCGGTTGGGTGTCTGACTTTGGCTCAGGTCATGATCATACAGTCTGTGAGTTCGAGCCCCACATCAGGCTCTGAGCTACAGAGCCTGGAGCCTGCTTCAGATTCTGTCTCCCTCTCTCTCTGTCCCTCCCCCGCTTGCATTCTGTCTCTCTCTCAAAAATAAAATAAAAACATGGGAATGCAAGCTGGTGCAGCCACTCTGGAAAACAGTATGGAGGTTCCTCAAAAAACTAAAACTAGAACTACCCTATGACCCAGCAATTGCACTACTAGGCATTTATCCAAGGGATACAGGTATGCTGTTTCTAAGGGACACATGCACCCCCATGTTTATAGCAGCACTACCAACAATAGCCAAAGTATGGAAAGAGCCCAAATATCCATCGATGGATGAATGGATAAAGAAGATGTATATATATATATATACAATGGAGTATTACTCGGCAGTCAAAAACAATGAAATCTTGCCATTTGCAGCTACGTGGATGGAACTGGAGAGTATTATGCTAAGTGAAATTAGTCAGTCAGAGAAAGACAAAAATCATATGACTTCCCTCATATGAGGACTTTAAGAGACAAAACAGATGAACATAAGGGAAGGGAAACAAAAATAATATAAAAACAGGGAGGGGGACAAAACGGAAGAGACTCATAAATATGGAGAACAAATAAAGGGTTACTGGAGGGGGTGTGGGAGAGGGGATGGGCTAAATGGGTAAGGGGCACTAAGGAATCTACTCCTGAAATCATTGTTGCACTATATGCTAACTAATTTTGATGTAAATTTAAAGAAATTAAAAATAAAATTAAAAAAAATTATAAAATAAATAAAATAAAGTAAAAACATTAAAAAAAAAAAAAAGAAAGAAACCTGTATCTTTAACAAACTGTTTTTGGATATAAATCACTTGCAACCATAGTATCTCAAAAATAATCTTTAAAAGAAAATGGTGTATTCAACATTGTACTGGAAGTTCCAGCCAGAGCAACGTAGCAAAAAAGGAAAAAAAAAAAAAAACAAAACAAAACAGCACCTAAATTAGAAAGAAATAAAAGTATCTTTATTCACAGATGATTCTCTTACATATGCACGATCCTAAAGTAACCACAAAAAATTATTAAAGCTTATGAATAAATTCAACAAAGTTACAAGACACAAGATTAATAGGACACAAGATCAAACACTCATGATCTTGGATTTGGCAATGGTTTCTTTTAGACAGAACAGCCACCAAAGCACAAGCAACAGAAAAACTGGAAAACTCACAAATATGTGGAAATTAAATGGTAGAATTCTCATTAACCACTGTGTCAAAGAAGAAATCAAAAAGGAAATCAAAGAGTATCTTGACCCAAAGAAAACAGAAACACAACAAATGATATTTATGGGACGGAAAAACAGTTCTAAGAGAACAGTTTAGAGTGATAAACGCCTACATTAAGAAAAAAGATCCCAGGGCATCTGAGTGGCCCCGTCGGTTAAGCGTCCGACTCTTTATCTCCACTCAGGTCATGATCTCGGCGTTCATGAGTTCAAGCCCCACACTGGGCTCTGTGCTGATGGTGCAGAGTCTGCCTGGGATTCTGTCTCTTCTTCTCTCCGACCCTCCCCGACTTGTGATCTCTCTTTCAAAATAAATAAACTTAAGACTTTTTTAAACAAAAAAGATTTCAAATAAATGACCTAACTTTATAGTTAGCTGTGAGTACAGGGTTTCCTCTTGGGGTGATGAAAAGATCTTGAAATTAGACGGAAGTAACGGTTACATAACATTGTGAATGTACTAAATGCCACCTTAAAAAAGTTAATGGTTAATTTTATGTTATATGAATTATACCTTTAAAAATGCAAAAAAAAAATTTTTTTAAAAGGCGGGGAAGGGAAGTGGGGCGCTGTCTTAAAACCTAAAATATTTTAGGGGCTCCTGGGTGGCTCAGTCGGTTAAGTGTCTGACCCGATCTCAGCTCAGGTCTTGATCTTAGAATTCAAGCCACATGTTGGGCTCCACGCTACGTGTGAAGCCTACTTTAAAAACAAAAAACAAAAACCTAAAATATTATAAACAAGTTTATTTTCTATTCAGCAGTTTCATCTTTGCATGTTTTTAAAATAAAGCTACTTTCTCAAACACTTCTTAAGAATAATATTAATAGAGGGGCGCCTGGGTGGCGCAGTCGGTTGAGCGTCCGACTTCAGCCAGGTCACGATCTCGCGGTCCGTGAGTTCGAGCCCTGCGTCAGGCTCTGAGCTGATGGCTCAGAGCCTGGAGCCTGTTTCCGATTCTGTGTCTCCCTCTCTCTCTGCCCCTCCCCCGTTCATGCTCTGTCTCTCTCTGTCCCCAAAAAAATAAATAAAAACGTTGAAAAAAAGAATAATATTAATAGAATGTTCCATTTCTTACCAGAAGACTCTTTTCCATTCTGTTTTTCATAGAGGGTGCCCACAGACATCAGGAAAACAATAACCAGGAATACTGGAATTCTCCATGAGCCCGCCAGGGATGCTGAAAATTATCAAGAGTTAACATTTTTAGTTGAAAACCTAGCACACATCTTTAAAAGAATTAGTAAACTGACATAACAATTTGCCATAGAGAACATTAACAAAATTGTTTCACAGGGAATTTTTTTTTTTTAAAGGCCCTAAGAGAGATGAAGCCTCAATTCAGGGTTTGTCTCAGTTAAAACCAGCTCTGCTGAGGCCCCTCGTCTAAAATTGGGTATGTGCCAGGGGAGCTTGGGTGGCTCAGTTGGTTGAGCGTCCAACTTTGGCTCAGGTCATGATCTCATGGTTCGGGAGTTTGAGCCCTGCATTGGGCTCTGTGCTGACAGCTCACAGCCTGGACCCTGCTTCGGATTCTGTGTCTCCCTCTCTCTCTGCCTCTCCCCTGTTTGTACTCTCTCTCAAAAATAAACACTAAAAATATTTTAAAAAAAAATAAAATTGGGTATGTGCCAGCCTCCCCTTAACGGGCTCATATCACCTGAGGAATCAAGTCCATTCTAATGCACACCTAGGATTAAAGACCATCCTGAACTCAAACGTTCCATTTAACCTCAAAATTACCTGCATCAGTTATAGAACCTAAAGTCATGGAGCCTGATTTCATTTCCTGAAAATACCACTGGGTGTGAACTCCATCTCTCAAGAGCGGGTGAAATGGCCCAGAATAGCACGGCAAAAAGCTTCAATGTATCCTCAGTTTAAAAGGCAAAAACGCTAACAAGCGCCAAGGACCAGGTACCTACCCACAGGCATTTGCGTTTCCCTGAGTAAATCTAGAGCCTCCTGAACTGCTGCCTCCTCCTCTGCCTTCCCCAAATTCAAAATGAGTCACATCGGACATCAGGGGATCTTGCTAATATACTCCTCTAGGATTCCAAGTCAGCAAAGCTAGAAAGCAATGCTTTGTTCCACATCAGTCTCTAAGCAAAGAAATACTTTCAATCAGCTCTGGTGTTTTATTTTTAACTGTAAGTAGCTCTAAAAACTACTTTAAGTAGGCTAACTACTGCTCTAGGTTACTGAATTTTGTTTTTAAATTAGAACCTAATGTTCCCTAAGTCTTAACTTGGAGATAAGAGTCCCTGAAAAAAATCACTCTATAACATCCTAGCAGCCATTCAGCTGACAGTAAAGAGTCCCAAATACCAGGAAACTCATTCTTTTGAGCAGCTGACACTAATCGTCTTTACGTTGAACAGATTTGTCTCCCTGAAGCTACTCCTTGCTCTGACGTCTCTCCCCCATAGGTAGAGAGATCTGTTTAAACCATTCTTTCACAGGACAGTCCTTCAAATTGGCTTCCATATTTTATTTTCTCCTTCCCTCCTCTTCCTCCCCACTCGTGTAGCCCAGTCCCCTTCTCTTACCCGGCGTAAATACGTCTGGTTCCTGTAACTGTCTCTCACATACTTAACTGCTTATCTATATCCTCCTGAAGTATGACACTCATAAATGGCCATGACACTGTAAGTGTGCTTTACTTTTTAAGATATATTTATTTTTAAAGGGCCTTTTGAAAATGAACATTCAATATAATCAAAAGATAGACATGTTACAACATCTTTATTAAAGACTAAAGAAAGATTAAAGCAGAACATTTTCTAAAGATTATTTTAAAGAATGTTAAATGCAACATACAACACTACAAAAAAATTCACTTCAATTCAAACAATCAGCCTCTGCTGATCTTAAGCTAGACTTTCTTAGAGAAAAGGACCCACCTAAATGAAAAAGCAATATAATCCAGACAGGAATTGAAACTGCTCTCAAGTAGCGTTCAGTGCTTGCATTCCACTTGAATGAGACAGCCAACACATAGCCAACTACCAGTGTCCAGATCTTAAATAAATGAAATACAGACACAGTTGTTAATATATACACATGAAAATAAACAAACATTCGTACAAAATCTGCAAACATCTATACAGCATGAGAGCTGTGGATATAACACAGATAAGATGAAGGTGGTGGTGCTAAATGACATGTGTATAGATCTTCTTCTGTTTTTTTTTTTTTTTTTTTAACATTTTATTTATTTTTTTTTTAATTTTTTTTTTCAACGTTTATTTATTTTTGGGACAGAGAGAGAGAGAGCATGAACGGGGGAGGGGCAGAGAGAGAGGGAGACACAGAATCGGAAACAGGCTCCAGGCTCTGAGCCATCAGCCCAGAGCCTGACGCGGGGCTCGAACTCATGGACCGCGAGATCGTGACCTGGCTGAAGTCGGACGCTTAACCGACTGCGCCACCCAGGCGCCCCGATCTTCTTCTGTTTAAACAAATCAAGTTTTGAAATAAACAAGCATTTGAAATCCAGCATATATGGTTATATTATTTCAATAGTCTTGGGGCACCTGGCTGGCTCAGTTGGTGCAGCATGTGACTCTTGGTCCCGGGTTGCAAGTCCCAGCCCCATATTGGGTGTAGAGATTACTTAAAAATAAAATCTTAAGGACACTGGGTGGCTCTGTCAGTTAAGCATCCAACTTCAGCTCAGGTCATGATCTCATGGTGAGTTCAAGCTCCACATCTGGCTCTCTGCTGTCAGAACGGAGCCTGCTTTGGATCCTCTGCCCCCCCCCCCCCCCCCACCCCCGTTTGCCCCTCCCCTGCTCGCGCTCTCGCTTTCTCAAAAATAAACATTGAAAAAAATAAAAAATAAAAATAAAATCCTAAAAGGCAAAAAATCTTAACCAAAAAAAACCCCACAAAGTTTTAAGATACTTTAAAGTTCAAAACTATTTGATGCATAAAGATACTTAAGATAAAATATTCAATTTTTAAGCCATGGACTTAAATCAAGAGCTTAAGTCATGGAATTCTTCGAGTTTGCTCTATAGATGAATATTTAGAAAAGTACAGCAACAAAAAAGAAATCTTTCCCAAAACAATTGGGTTAAAAGATTCCATCACAGCCTATGAAATACGTTGTTAACTGTGAGAAGAATTTTTTTTAAAGCTAGCAAGAAGGCAGCCAGCTGAAGTGTGACCCCTGAAGTAATCTAGGTAAGAGATGGTTAAACCTAGTCCAGAGTTATGTGGACAGCTGAAGAAGTGTAGCTGAAAAAAAATATTACCAGAGTAAGAGACAGAGAGAGTTGAGAACAGAGGAACCACCAGGGTCCCCCTCTCAGTTTTCCCTACACCAAAACTAAATGACTCTAGCACTTGGAAACACCTGCACAGCCCACACAGAAACTCTAATAATATTTACAAAGGATGGAAAACAATGTGAGCATCATAAACCTATTAATAACCTGAACCCTGGGGCGGGCAGGGGGGGGGGGGGGGGGGCAAATAAAAGCAAAAAAAACAAAAAAAAAACAAAAAAAAACCTTTAAGTTCCAATTCAGAGAATGAAGAAAAAGGAACTGATGTGATTACTACAAAAGACAGGAAAAAAAAACCCAACCATCTCCTACTTTATTTGGGTTGTATCAATCAATAAAAACAGTCTTCTGGGGGAGCCTGGGTGGCTCAGTTGGTAAAGCGTCCCACTTGATTTCAGCTCAGGTCATGATCTCATTGTTCCTGGGATCGAGCCCCACGTCAGGCTCTGTGCTGACCAGTGCGGAACCTGCTTGGGATTCTCTCTCCCTCTCTGCCCCTCCCCTCTACTGTATAAATAAATAAAACAAAAAAATAATAGTCTTCTGGTCTTAAAAATGTTTTTAGCTTCTGACCTTAGACTTCAGCTTTGGAACCTTACTAAATAATAATAAATTCTGAAAAAGTCTCTATAATATAAAGAAGCTCACCTAAAAGTTCAACTGGGAAGTAACTACAGAGGATTCACTCAATAAAATGTTATTCAACCATTACAGTGTTGGTTTTTTTTTAAACAAAAACTATAGAGTTAAAAACACTCTTAAGATATGCTTAAAGAAAAAGCAAAATATAAAAAACACATGTGACATGATTATAGCTACTGCATGGTGGGAGGAAAAGTAAATGTACTAAGAAGTTAGTAATTGTATTTGGGTGATAAGATTCCAGTTTTCCTTTTCCTTTTTCTGTATCTTCCAAAGTGCCTTTAATGAGCACAAATTCTTTTATAATGAAAAGGATATTTCTTCAAGCAACTCTATTAGACGAAATATTCAAGAGATCTTAAGCCCCAGCTATATGAGCACAAGGGAAGTGGAACTACAGCTGCATCAAAACAGTTCAAGTTTGCAGAACCACACAAATTTAACCTGGGAATTCAGAGAATTTGAAGCAGGGCTGTAGAGCTCAGAATGAAATCAGTGTATAATAATAGCACACTTGCATACCAAATCTGTTAAAAAATGATCCTCAGCAAACGGTCAGTCTTCGGTGCGCACAGGGGTAATGAGCCCCACGCCATGAAACATTGAGTCAGTAATTCAGGTAAGAGACTAGAAAGCATATTAATTGAATTCACAGATTACACAAAATTGGCAACAGTCAATAAATACGGAGATGACTATAATGATTCAAAAAGATATTCAAAAAGATAATAATTCAAAAAAGATTAAATTTAATAGAAAGATACAAAAATCTGCTCTTAGGTTCAAACTCACCTGCAAAGTACTGAATGCGAAGAGGATGGCTAGGCTACTTTTCAGTTCAGTGTGAGTCAGGAATATAAATAGTGTGAGTGCCTATTAATAATGCTCATATCAGGAAAAATGATTGTTTCAATGACTTCCGCACTATCAAAACCACAGCCATAACGTTCAGACTGGGAAAGGAAATAGAAATCACCACATAGGAGATACAAACTATAGTTGGGGGGGGGGGGGGGGGGAAAAAAAACTGCTCCATTTAGGAAAAAAAAAAAGAAGAAAATATGAGGATTTGATAGCTATCTTCAAACAGCTGGGAAAAAGTCATCTGGGAGAGGCATTCACCTTAACCCTTGTGGTCCTGAGAGCAGAAACAATAGGTGGGAATCAGGAAACACCACACTGCAGCTCAACATGAGGATAAATTTTTCTAACAAACTATAGCTGTCTAAAAATGGAATATTTTGTGTGAGCAAAAGCTGACCATAAGTCAGGGATAACAAAGCACAAGAACCTGCTTTCAGAGATTAAGCCTATGATGGTTTTTAAACTGACTTCTAGGAAGTTTCTGTTTCTTACCTGTACTCACAAGGAATCAGTATCACCTACGGGGAGAGAAAAGAGACTGCATACTTCAGAGGGAGACTCATGGTCTAAAGAGAAGCACATGTTTTCACCTAGTAAACCTGAAACCCACTGATAGCCTTATTTCAGTTTAAAACACCCACTTATAAAATACACTCCCCAATTCTACTTCTAGGAACTTGGTTTACGGAAGTTCCTAGTTTGGTTTATAGAAGTTCCATATACTGTGCACACAGATCTGTAAATGTTCACTGCGGCTGCAAAAAATATTTTAAAAAATAACTTAAATGTCATTTTGTAAAGGACTCTTTAAATAATGGTACCTCCAGAAACTGGAACAATTTTTCAGACTTTCAGAGGTATGATGAATATCTACATTCAATGACAGTATAAATGCACACGTGTGTAAATCTGTATTGGTGAAAATACACTCAGCCCAAATATTTAAAAATAGTATCTCTGGATAGTTGGATTTCAGGGGGCAATTTGCTTCTTTCTGCTTTCCTTCAAGTGTTGAATTTTCTAAAAGTATTTTCATCTTTATAAACAGCATATGTTTTTTGAGGTTTTTTTTTTAAAGATTTTTTTTAAGTTTATTTATTTATTTTGAGAGAGAGAGAGTATAAGCAGGGGAGAGCCAGAGAGGAGGAGAGAGAGAGAATCCCAAACAGGCTCTACACTGACAGCACAGGGCCCAATGCAGAGCTCAATCCCACAAACCATTCGTTGAGATCATGACCTGAGCTGAAATCGAGTCAGATGCTTAACTGACTGAGACACCCAGACACTCTGCAAACGTTTTGAACTTAAAAAACCTCTTTTGGGGCGCCTGGGTGGCTCAATGGGTTAAGCGTCCGACTTTGGCTCAGGTCATGATCTCCCGGTTTGTGGGTTCGAGCCCCACATCAGGCTCTGTGCTGTCCATCCAGAGCCTGGAGCCTGCTTTGGATTGTTTCCCTCTCTCTCTGCCCCTCCCCCACTCACACTCTGTCTCTCAAAAAATGAATAAACATTAAAAACAAAATTTAAAAAAAAAAAAACAACCTCTTTTGACCTATGGATATGGATATTTTTCCCCCAATATTCTGAAGCGTCTCCTCAGAAAAGATTCACAGGATATTATTAGCTCAAAAAGTATGACCATTTATAAACACTTTATAGATTTCTTATTAAACCGTTATGATTACATAAATTACCAATGTTTGAAAAATGTTTATCAGATTATCCTAACACATATTCAGAGCTACAATAAGAATATTTTCTAAAAGACATCTGGGAAACAAAATTTTTTTATACTATAGTACTATTAAAAAGAAAGAGCTGTATCTATTAGTGCTAACAAGGAAAGATGTGTATAATACAAAGATAAATGAAAGAGCAAGGTGCAAAATTGTATGTATATGTTACCCCATTTTTGTTTTGAAAAACAAATGCCCCATACTTTATATGTTCATATAAGCACACAAAGAAATTTTGGTTATTCATCAGTTAACAATAGTAACATGTTACCCTGTGGGAATGGTGGCAAAGAAACTATTCACTTTACCATACAGACTTCTATGTTGCTTAAGTTGTTTTGTATATAACATGTTTTACTTGAACCAATTTTTGAAATTGCTAAATATTCTTTAAAATAAATTCACCAAAAATAAGGATTTTGTACTTTCAAATTACAAATATATTTTCTAGTATGGATTTCTAAAAGTCTGTCTTTAAGAGTTTTAT